CAACATCAGAGCAACTCCCTGAGTGTGTGGAGCATTTTCCTCTTCGTGATCATGTATAGCAGCATCTCTCCCGTATCTAGCCTTCGTTGTCCAGCCTGGGTCCAATGGGTTTCGCTGATTCTCAGTACTGCCAAGTTGTGTCTACTCATTTCCGTTGCTATTTGACTGATCTTCCCTGTCTCCCACATTGTTCGGACGTTCCATGTACCTATAAAAATTGTTGCTCTGGTTGTTAGAAGGGTCATCGGCCTCATGGCTTCTGAAGAAACTCGGCTTTCACCATGAAGCGTCATAATTTTTCTAAATGAAGACCTTTTAACTCCCAGGGCAGAGTTAAAATGGTTTGAATTATTTTTTCTGGTAAGCGTTTTTTAGCGAGTTAGTTTTCTACGGGATGGAGACGCTAACCTCACGCCCAACCCTCCTCCTTTACCCGGGCTTGGGACGGGCAGTAACTCTAGAAGAGCTTGATCACGTGTTACAGACTTCATAAAAATTCCTCTTACTAGCTGAAGTATTAGTTGTTTAAATCCCTCGATCATTCACTTTCTTTCCTATACACATGACCTTAAATCTTATCAATTCACTCGACTATGAATTCGCTTTGTTAGCTTAAAACTTAATCATTCGCACTGTACAATAATAAACTGTTGTCGACGCTTTGACTTGCCTTCTGAAATTTATACACTGTAGGGAGTTATCTGATAAAGGTTATCAAGACAATGAATACACGAAACCTTACTAATTATCTCGAAGATGTTTTATAACAAGATCTAAGCGAGTATGAACACCACAGAAGCATCACATTACTATCACTACCAGGCAAAATTTACAACAGTGTTGTTGAACCGAAGGGAAGATTTCGTAAACGTTCAACCTCTAGACTAACAGGATAGGTTCCGTGAAGATCAGTAGTGTACCGACCAAATTGCAACACTATGAATCATTGATGAGTAATCCATTAAAAGAAACTCATCACTATATGCCAACTTCCTTCATTAAGAGGAAGCGTTTGACAGTGTGGATAGAATAACTTTATGGGAGTTAACTCAACACTACAGTGTATCTGCAAAGATTGTCACCATCATGCAAAATTGTTAAGACGGGCTGCAATGCAAGTCCTTCAGTGTAGGTTGGCTGACACATGCATTTCAAATGAAGAACATAGTCGGAAAAAGGTTGGTCACTCTCACCGTTTCACCATTTACTGGTTGTTGACTGAATTTTGAAGAACTCCACGGATCGGGAGAGGCACGGAATACATTAGACAGCTTAAATGTAGCTAGACCGTTTGAACTTAGCAAACGACCTAGTAATTCTACGCCTTACAAAGCAACAAATGGAGGTGTAGTGACTCACATTTACCACGAGAACACGACTGGTTTAATAAAAACAATTATTATTATAACTAACTGTACCAGTGTTTGTTTTAACGTGCTTTTGTTTGACTGTGCTAATGACAGCTATTTTGTGCTTCCATTCTTATACTTACACTTTGATTGTAACTTCGCGCGAATTCGGCTACCTTCTGTAACCAAAATTGTATCCTGGCACGATCTCGGTATCCTTTCGATGCCACGAGATCGCCAGCAAATATAACTCGACTTGGTCTATTAATTGCCTTCTGATATTTGGCTTCTCGGAGATTTTATGGGTTTCTTTGGTTACGTCCAACCTTCGCCTTCTGATTTAATTCAGGCACGTGTTTCTTGGTAGTGGTGTTCATAGTCAACCGCGACTCGACGCCACGCTACAGAGGTAAAACAGACATTGTAGCACCAGCTTCTGAAGAAACAGGCCCCAGTGTGCACAATACGAATAACATATACTGAAATACAACACAGTGGACACCAATATATCACACTTGATGAAGAAGCAAAGGAAGTGATTGAAACTTTCAAGTACCTCGGTAGTATCATTCATGAACAAGGGGGATCTTATGCAGATGTGAAGGCATGGATCGGAAAATCAAGATCAGTGATCCTACAATTGAAGAATATCTCGAACTCATAACAACAGTCAGACAACACAAAAGTCAGAATTTTCAATACAAGTGTTAAGACAGTTATGCTATACGGAAATGACACTTGGAGAACTACCACAATCATCGTCAAAAACACATAGGTGTTTACAAATAGTCATCTAGGTAGGATAATCCATATCCGTTGACTGGGTACCATCAGCAATAACACTGTGACTAAATACTCTGACAGAAAACAAATCAGCTTTCATCTGAAGGGGAAATCGGAGAGATATGCTGTCGGTGAATTGATTACACTGACGGAAATCATTAAACTGTATTAGGAAGCAAGTCATAACTCGGAATCATCAAGGCTAAAGGAAAATTTGCAGACGATAGCACAAATTGCTCTATGAAATGGAGTCTGGCATCACAAGAAGAAATAGCACTTATCAGTAACTGGAAAGATGAGCGCAGATAATTGTTACTCGGTGATTTTAGGTCGACAGCCTATGCTTCATGAGGGGCAACATACATAAGTTATCACCAAGTATAAAATTCCCGGTATGATCTGATTGTAGATTTTAAAGTAAAAGCTTTGTACAGAATCGGACTAATCAGTAAATTATGTAGTTATTACCATTACAAAACCAGAGATTAGTTTACATAGTCGCGATAATTCAACACTCTCCGTTCACAAATAAATCAGTAATTATAATTCTTAAATAAACTCTTTCTGTTAAATGTGATCACTGGAACAGAATAGTCTACTGTAAAATGTTGTGTTAAATTTTGTATCTAATTCACCTGACAAATGTTCCTGTTTCATTTTTTTTAAAATCCAATATTCTAAACAATCATATGCAAATTCATGAAATCCATGATTGAATTTGTTAACGAAGAATTCAGTTCTTTGTGTGAAGTTATGTAAATGTTGTATTCCAAAAATACAAATACCACGAACAATCCGTCTCGATGCACAATAAGCTGGCCACCAAATTTTATATCGCGCAACAAATGTCGCACGAGGATCCTTCCCATTCGATACGTGACACGTGAGACACGCTCCTGGAGCTTCAAGTTGTGGATTGTATGCCAATGTACTGAAAAACAATTCATCTGGAATTTTCGGCAAATTTTCTTCTTCTTTAAAAATCTTTCTTATTTCTAAAGCTCGTTTATCATGAAGTATGTAATCAACCATGTCTCGCCTTAGAGCGGCATGGAAACTACCCTTCGTCCACTTCACCTAAAGTAAATAGAACGGTTTAGCACACATCAGCATAAATTCAAAAGTCGATAATTTTCTACAAAAATGACAACCATTTTAATTAAGGTTCTGTTAAATCCTTGACTTGCATAGGGTGCATTATCTGTCACTTTAATCAAAAATGTGAATCACTAATGTTTAGGGAATATCGAAATGAGATTATTTTTACACATTCAAGGCTTTATCTTCAGTTTTTTATATTATTCTGTCTGTATTAAAAAATCACTTTTACGAATGTTCTGATGAATATAAGCAAAGATGGATAGTGGCTAACAGTGGAATCCAGGACGGACGTTTCGTTCTATTTAGGACTCGTCAGCCGGATGTAACCGCATCTCATAGTTAATGTTCATTCTGAATCCCACTGCTAGCCACTATCTATCTTTGCTTACAATGCTTGTAAACTAAGGCAATGTCGAGACAATATCGTGGCAATACGCACAGTATGCACATATGCCAGCAAGAAACTGATCAATTGCAGTCCTACACATCAATGAGAAGATTCAAGCAAACAATACCAGGTAAAGTTCTGATGAATAGTTTTCGAAATTTGCGTCATTCACTGTTTATTAGCCAAAAATATTTTGATGCCCAAAATATTTTTTTTTTGTAACCTTTTCTTATTGTCATATTTATGAGTATTTTAATCATGAACAAATAATGATAGTTGTAATTTAATCATTTATCACACAAATCATATGTATTTACATGATTTTATGAAAACTCTGTTTAATCTGAGTCTGGTCTATGTCATATACTGACACCAAATGTTGGAACTGTTGTATTTTTATTGTTTTACAGTAGAATCTAGCAAGTATATCTTGAATTATTTGTAATTTATTAGCTGGATCTATATGGCTGTTGATTGCAGTCCTTAATATCAACAACAGGTAAACACGAATACCTATTTAGATTATGAAATCACCAATAAATACGAATCATTACACGGGGGAATTTTTTCTTAATTTACATCTAAGGAGTATGTATTGATGAACTCATCATTAATTAACATTGTGAGCTTCAGTGTTAACAAGCTAAAAAGAAACTGTTGACCAACACTTGTTTTGCAAATTTCAATTTATAATGAAAGTCACTGCAGAAATTATGTCAGTAAGAAGGTTTTACATAGAATATTATCCATAATAGTAAAAAAATACTATCGAAATATAATTTATGTGTTTTCACAAACAACCGATTGTTTAATCTAACTACTCTAATAGAACAGAGTAAGTTCAAAAAGACAGAATTGAATATACAAGTTTATTCATTTCATTTTAGATCATACAAAGCAATACTACGTGGAATTTTCTATAATAGTAAAAACTTGACATTTTTCAAAAACAACCCACCTGGAGTGGATCTTTTACCACACTTTAATACACTTAAACTTATAGAAATCTACAAAGATATAAAATTCATACCCAGTTGATATTAAATAATGATCTATTATAAAGTAAATGAGTAGTATAATAGTATTTAAAGAATATTTTTGTAAATTGTTTCACACTCGTATGCAGCTGCTAGGAATGGTGGACTAATGGCAGCCTGTGTAGTATATATTGCAATAACTCTAACAAAGTTCCATAATCATGATGTTCCATAAATACATATATTTCTCGAAGACTATGTACAACTTCAATGGAGATAATAAAAATATTTGTCTCCGTTGACCGTATTTGCCAACACAAAATTTATTTAGTTTCCTAATCAAAATTTCAGTTTAAATACAGTGAATAGAAATAAATGATTGCAAGTTTATGCGTTCCATGCTTACATTAAACTTACTACAAAATTCGGTTGTTTTAAGGGTATTCTTTCTTCAGGAGCATTTTTTCTAGCACAGTCAATGATATTGGACATATTCAACGCTTTCAGTGCAGCTACTAATTCCCAATTCGTTCGTAATGGTAATTCTTTCCCGTTGATGTTCACCAAATATTGCCATTTAACAGTTGGGTTGTTGAATAACAACTCAGAACAAGCAAGAAATCCCTCCACTACTGAATAGTGCCCCCAAACTACACGGATGCTCTCAGATCGATTCACTACCAGAACATTAACACCGAAACATCTAGACAGATTAACAATTCCCTCATAAAACCATTCAGGCGATTTCCTGTCCACATGAATACAATAAAGATTGTTCGGACGATAAATTAAACGCAGTAGTCGAGCTGTCCATTCAACATCATCATAAATTAGTAGGGAATATGCAATTGGATATGATTTCTCTTCCTCACTCAACCAAACAGGTTGTTCAATTAGTTGTTTGAAGTTATCACAAGACTTCGAACCATCCCATAGACGATAACGGTCGTTGCGTGTTGAATAAGTTTCGAAGTGTTTGGTAGTTAACGGACTTTTCACTGTGTCTTTTAAAAATGCTTCACACGTTTCTATGGATTCACTTATCATATTTTGATATAGATTAGTTGAAGGAACTTCATATGATCCAGACTTCAATAAATTGACCATTATTATAATTACTAATATTATTGTAGTTGTGAAGATTATTCTCAAAATATTATCGTTCAACACTAACTGTAATCTTCTAGTGATGAAAAATTTTCTTGAATTTTTATAGATATATGATATCATGTTGTGAAGGCCTGCTAAGTGTACATATCATAAAAACATAGTTAATAATGAAGTTAATTTCAATAATGCAATGAGAAGACGTAGTTTATCAGAATTATGTGATATATTTGCGCAATACATTTCGAACAATCCGATCATGCATATACATGTTAAGAACATTTATATATGAAAAATTAAAAGGTCAACTAGACAGGTTAAGGGTAAGTCATAACAAAGGAAAAAAGTTAAAGTACACAAAAACAAATGTGATTACCATTTTGGATAGTAAATCATTACTACCAGGGTAGGTTAAGTGTAAGTACAAATTGTTTTTGAACACATAAAGGGGGTTTCAAGTTTCGTATAGCCAAGGCTTCAATAAACCTTAGTATACGTCTTTGAAGGCTTTTGTATAACACTACAAATGCTAATTTGATATCAACCTTATGACCCGTCTCAATCAAATGTTTCGCAATGGATGATGATGTCTGTCTATCCTGTGATCTTATTTCACCATTGGAATTCCTCTGATTCTGCAACCATTTTGGTATATGTTCACCCACCCTTCATTGCAAATCACGATTGCTCCTCCCTACGTTACATGTTTCTACACATACATGTAAATTTATAGACACAATGGGATGTGACACAATCGTTTTCATGCTGTTTGGGCTTTTGGTGAAACATCGACCTTGTCTTTTCGATAATGACAAGTTGGGCTGCATAAAATGTCCAGTTGATAGCTAATTTAAGTCTCTGTTTCAACATGAGACTATTTGTGTCACCTCTGAATGGTAGCGTAATATAAACTCGCTTTTTGGGTGCCAGAAGCGTCATAGGTCTAGTCATATTGCAACCCTTCCAGCGGTTTATGAACTTCAAAGGGTAACCATTATTGATTAACTCATCAGTCAAGAGCTTCATCTTTACTTCAATAGTATCACTAGTACAAATACGATTGATTCTATTGAATAAGTTCTTTATTAAACCACGTTTATAATGAACAGGGCAGTGACTATGAAAATTAAGATATTGTCCTGTCCATGTTGGTTTTCTATATCTAGCACGTTTGATGGAACCATCATCTCTCCTAGTAATCAGGATGTCAAGAAAAGGAAGTTGGTTGTTCTTCTCTTCTTCACATGTAAGAGAAATGTGCTTTTGACTACTATTGAATTTTTCTAACAAGTGGCTTATGTCTTCAATTTTATCACCTATGATTATTATGTCGTCTACATATTGTTTATACAGACCCATCTTTCGAATTGAGTCTCCAACTAAATTTTCCACATATCCCATGAACACATCAGCCAGCAATGGTTCTAGAGGGCTGTCCATAACTACACCGTCTATTTGTCTGAAGTGTTCACCTTCAAATGTGAATTTTACATTATCTGTACATAATAATAATAAATTTTTAAGAGTTTTAACAGGAAAAGGCAGTGGAAGGTTTTTCGAAGAAATAAAGTCACACAAAATATCAATGGTTTTCCTAAGAGGTACATTTGTAAATAAAGTGTTTACATCAAAGGAGCACATTGTCTTTGTCTTTATATTTATATCCTTTAAGTAATTAATTAATTCGAATGAGTCAGTCAAAGAATACTTACAATATTGATTTCTGATAGGGTTTAATAATTTTGTAAGCCATTTTGCCAGGTTGTGTGTAGGTGACCGACACATAGATAGAATTGGACTTAGGGGGGTATTAGGCTTATGAATTTTAGGTAATCCATATAAATTAGGATATGCCGAACCCATAGGTTTTAATAAATTAAACTCATCTTTGTTAATAGCATTCATGTTTAACAATTTTACAAGATTCGAGTTCACTTTCTTTTCTAATTTACGTAATCCATCAAAGTCAACATCAGCCAAAAATTTGCTTTTATCACTGAGAATGGATTCCATTTTATATTTGTAATCTGACTTATAATAACAACACCAGATCCTTTATCGGGTTTAAGTATAATAATATCGGCATTGTTTCGCAGTTCTTTTAATGATTTGAAGTGCTGAGAAGTTAATATGCTTCTCTGCTTTGGTCCAGAAGAATGAAAATGATGCGCTATATCCACTAGTTTGGCTTTAAATCAACTTTGATTCTTTAAGGACGAAGGGATTAAAGCACTCAATTGATCATAGAGGTTTTCAAATTGGGCATTGACTGTGAATTCAGAGATTTGTGTTATAGGAACAAAAAATTTTAAACCCAAGGACAATGCCTCCTTTTCATGAACAGACAATACAATGGAGGACAAATTAGTGACATATTTATCAGGATTGATTGGGAAGGAAGTGAGATTATTATTATTGCAGCAAGATTTTTCTAGCTTTTTCCTTATCCCTTCTTTTGTTTTCAAAATGACTAATTGTTTAAATTAATTTAATGTTATTGAATTAATGAAATGGTGGAATGCAACATGTTTTTTGTCCTATATGTACACGTATCATAGTTCCAGTACTCATTAACATAAACAACACAATTAATTCCCCTAAATGAAAAGAGAAATTATTGTAAAATAAGAGTCATTGTACGGAAGCTTTTCAATATTCTCATAGGTCTAATGTTTTACATTTTCTACTGCCTGTATTGTCTTTTATCCATAACTTCTATCCTTTCATGTTATTCTATTTTATTTGTTGAACAGAAGCACTTAGTTGTACAAATTGTACTTTGATTATATCGCTTTCAAATTTATCCTATGAGAGGCAATACTAAAAAGAACGTAAGACGGCCGGGTACTCAAGCTCATCAGTTCAGTTCTACACCTTAAGACATTACTATGAATTTATCTTTGTAATAACTATGCAGATTGTTATAAGTAAAACTTTTTGACCGGTCGAGTTTACAGTGAAAACGATCAAATCCCATACTGTCAATGTACAAACCAGTTTTATATTTTTGTTTAATTGAACGTATGGAATTTCATTGAAACCAACTCATCAATTATATTTATCATATTCTTATGATCCGAAATTACCTGTTTATAGTCATATCTGTGTGCCAATGTAAAGCTTTAAATTAGACCGAAACGGATGTTCAGCATCACTTCACCTTCATTGCTTTTACAGTCATCGCATAGATTCACAGACACAATGATAAAATAAATCCTTTGTTAACAAACTCTAAAGTTAGGTCATCTACAAAGCCGTTGAAATGAATTCGGATCTTACGGAACAGGTCAGAGGGTATTTGGTGCTAGAATCAAGAAAACATTAGGAATGGGTGATGTAATAATTGAGTGAAGTTCAGAGACAGATAAGATAAATTATGTAATAAAGGGTTTACATAAGATTGATAGGATTAACAAAAAACAACTAGTACGATGGGTTGCGTAACTGCATCACTAATGTTTTCTTAATTCTAACATCAAATAACCTCTGATCTGTTCTTGCATACACATACATAGTTATTATTGATAACCCTTGCCATTCCAATTCTTTACATTCACTTATGTCAATTGTTTCATACTTTATCTTACCTGAATGTAAAATGTTAATACGTATTTGATTGTAAGCAGCTGATGAGAAACCACAAAATATAATGAATTCATATTATTCTGCATCCATGTTCGTTCTGGCTTTATTTAAATTCATAAAGGGAACTAATTTTATGAAATTTATGACGTATTTTTAATGTTTAGAAAGTTTTTCATTAAGCAAGTTACCTGAAGAGAAGAACTAAGCTACTTAGAAGCCCGTTTTTCAATGGGATAACATCTTCAGTTGCCAACACTGTCATGCATCAAAACAAGACACCATTTTGTAAATTTTCTTGTCAAAAACTATAAGTATTTCCAGTACTAAGATATATCAGTCAGTTAGATCTCCCTATCTGTGTGATTTTAGTGGCCCTATATCTGACCCAATTGGATTGTATGCCGATAGTCATCGAAATATACATGTTGTCTATCCTCGTATTTTTCATCGACTTAAGTCGCGTTGTGAATAACGGAATTAAATAAGTTGAATACGAGAATGGATTTTTGAACAGCTATATTTTGTACACTCAGTGATCTGGACAGGAAATGAGGGGATGAAGCGAATAGAAGAGAGCGAAGCGAAATTACGCTCAATGGAGAAGGCATGTGAGCCATCTTCATTTAACCAAGCGTTAATCAATATTTATAGCCAAATAAAAGTGAGTTACAGACGTGTGATGAATAGGATAAGATGTGTACACACAAGTGCGCTCATATAAAAACATTCAGGGTTGATACGTAAATAATTAACAGGGTCAAAACGTGACTCAAATACAATAGATAAATTGGCCTGTCCAGAAGCTAGAATAAGTTATATGGGCTTATTATAGTAACCGACACTACATGATCAGGTTTCATTTCTGACCAAGTAGTTGCCTCCTCAAACGAGTAAGCTGACAACTTAGTTAACGTTTCCCCTTTTCAGTCGGTTTTGACGGATATAAAGATGAAAAAGACCGTTTTTCATTTGTTGCCAAATCACCTCTGTAACGCTCAGTTCATGTATGAGGTCAGTTTCATGAAAGCCATGTTTGTGGATAACCGGCCATTTAAACATTTAAAAAGACTCAGAATGCAGTGTATGGGAGACCTAATGGATTTTATTCCTCGAAATTTTCTTTGTGCAAAAGCTAAGGAACTATGAATATTCTCCATCTCTCATAACTCACCTACATGTGTCCCTGGTATTCATCTTGCCATGAAGATTCGATGCTCTTTAGATTGGTGTCACATAGGTAAAGACTATCTGTCATATCATTTATACTGGATGAAATTTAAAAATTTTGGAAGTTCAGTCAACAGTTCACGGAGGATTCCGATCTACGTTGAAAGCACAATAATTACTTATAAATAGTCTGTAACTAACTGAAACAGTATTTCTCACTTATAACCTCATTACTTATATAACATAAG